TCGTGTCATTTAGCTGAAATATTTTTTTTCAATGAAGCTGCTTTAAGAACTAAAATTAAATGTAAGATTTCTACCTTAAACAAAGGCCCATAGATAGAAGCTTTTTCCGTGTCAATCCCGTAGACTTTCGAGAACTCTTCTTTTAGATACCACTAAATTTTGATTATTATTGGGTTGGTGAATTGAAAACTGCCGGCTATTATCATATGTCACAGTTTGAGCACTTTCTTCAAAAGAAACCCATTTTGGTGTCAATGGAAAAGTTGTAGAGAATCAAAACTTAAATATCCAAATTTTCAGAACGATTCAAAAACTGGTTTTCAAGAAATGCCAAATTTACGAATTTTCACAAAACTTGCATTTTAAGCGAAACTACTAAGTGTATCTTTTTGGAAATTTGGCTATAAGCCTAATTTTTGATTCTCTACAACTTTTCTATTGACACCAAAATGGGTTTCTTTGAAGAAAGTGCTCAAACTGGGACATCTCCAGTCCTCCATTTTTGAGTCTCACACTTGTCTCACACACAAACCAAAATCCTACTACGAAAGGGGAATCCGCAGATTGCCTGTAAAAGGGGCAGAAGTCGTCAATAATAATGGAAATTATTCGGAATGAATTGATGGTTTTATGTTGAATGAATTCAAAGTTCAAAGTCCGGCAGTTTTCAATTCACCAACCCAATAGCTCTATGCTAGTCAGGAATGTTTTAATCGAAAATATTAGGCTTATAAATCAAGCCAGGACAAGCCAAAGCTTGCAAATGTTAACGGAAACTGATAAACTCGAGGACTTTTTGTGGGCCAGTCAAGTTCAAGGTTTAAATACCGTAAAAACTCTAATAGAAGCCCATGGGCTTGTATTTTTTTCCAAAATCAGCCAGCAGAAAAAGTAGGTAAGGTCTCGCACATGAAGCGGAAATTTATTTTTTTATAAACGTGATAGCCCTTGGTCTAAAGCGTACAAAAAACGCATATAAGAATAAATTTTCTTACCCGGGCCTCAGAAAATTTCCCGAGAAAAATTCCTGTGGTCCCCACATTAAATTTTTAAATTTTTTGAAAATGGTGTTATAAATTTTACTGCTGATTCCAAATTATTCATTTTTATGCTCAGATCTTTCTATATCTTTCTATCGATCTTTCTTTCTATACTTTCTTTCTCAGATCTTTTGTCCCATCACATGATGGGACAAAAGTCAGTATTTCAAGGGGTCAGAGTGGTGGGCTTCTATTAGAGTTTTTACGGTAATTTACCTCCACAACTCTTGGCTGGTATTTTAGCTTGTCTAGCATGATTAACTACATGTTTTTAAAACTTTTTGAGACCTAAATCTTAATAGTTTTTGACCCTTAACAAAGGACGTACTCGATTCGCATTCAACGCCCAAGTTTGACTCTCAAAAAACCAGGTCCAAATGGATATATCCGCAACAAAGAACAAGATTAGAAGAGCTCGGATCGACCACTTTTTGAATAAGGGAATCAGATGGAATCTAAAGGGTTTTGGTAGAAAAACTTTAAGCATTTAACTTGCCTGCAGACAACAATATATCGATAGAGAAAGTGAAAAACGATGAGTGCAAGCTGTTTGTTGTATAGGATACACCAATATAGAAGAAGGCACTGAGAAAGTGTTTTTTTTCTAGAAATTGTTGGACTCAACCTCTCCGACTTTCTGGCTAATGTGTGTGGCTAAAGGAGTGGCGATGAAGAAAGAGAAAGCGTAGCCATAAACATGGAGGCCCTAAAAGAATGAGTTCGTTTTGTAAAAAGCACCCATTGTATTTCAGAAAGCTGTTTTAGAAAGCTAATCAAATTATCAGTTTACGGTCGATCACATTGATTTTGGTGTCATTGATTGAGCCTTATGAATCCTCATCGAATGATATCAAAATCGAGATCATCGTACGAAAGCTGACAGTTTAAATACGATAGTTTTATGGAAAAAGTGTCTTTTAGAAAACGGATTGGTTGAGAAGAGTTAGCTTTAAAAGCTTTAAAAGCATTAGTTAGCTTTAAAAGCTTTTAAAAGCACTAGTTATCTTTAAAAACTTTAGAGATTATTTTTAAAGTTACCGGCATTAGAATGAGATGAAACAGAGGGAAAATTACATTGAAAGTCGCAAAAAGCATCATCAAATATTTGTAGAAACCAAATTCAGGACGACTGAAATGAGTTTTTATCTTAAATTTTCAAGTTCTTCTTACCTATATTTTGCTATAAGAAAAATTAGCCCAAGATTTGCTAATATCGAGCCCGAAGAAGAAAATAGCACAACAAAATGACTGGAATTCAGATGGCCAAGCATTTCTCACATAAGAATTCAATCGTTCAATAGGCCAAGCATTGTTCAATAAGGATTTTGTTTCAATCAATGTCAAAATTTTATCTTTTATGTTTCGCAATGTATTTTTAGATACAAATGGCGCTGACAACCAAAGTCTAAAAGGCTCTTTTTGTTCTAAAAAGTCTGCCTGGTTCTCTAGGGATTCGTTTTCTAAAAATGCTAATTGGTTCAGTGAAAAGTCTGATTATTAGTACGTTTAACAAATTGAAGAAACTACAAAAGAATTAAGAAATCAAGTAGATCAGAGTCTAACGGCATTGTGTCGAAAATGAAAGGAAACTGTTCGTTGAAAGGGATTTGTTTAAATCTTTGAACGTTTGTCATGGTTAGCACGATAGCTAAAGTGAATAACTTGGAGAACTATCACAATCTTTCTTTTGATATTGTCAGCTAAACTTAATTTTGATCTTGTTCAATTTACTGCTTGACTAGTAATCAGAATAAGATGATAATCACCGTCTATACTCTAATAGAAGAGCATGTTCTTCTATCTTCTTCTATTAGAGTTTTCTGTTTTCTGTTTTCTATTCTATCTTCTTCAAAATTTCTTCTATTAGAAACTTCTATTCTTCTGTTTTTCCAACGCTTTCCAAAATCAATGAAATAAATGGCTCCGCCAATTTCTTAAACTTATTTTTTTGCGGTAAAAATCATTTGCTCTGTTGGATTCTTTTAACATGATTTATTACGAAAGCCGTCTTTCTAAAGTCAATTTATTTAACGTACAAATAACAATAAATTAACAATTAGGTAACAAAAACAATCATAAGACATCAAACAAACAGTATCCTGCTGTTAGAGTCGGCGACTTCAATTAAGGCATCACCTCGTAGTCCTTGTTTTCCTTGTCTTCACCCAGGTCAATTTCGTTCATCAATTCGGCAATCATTTCGTCGTTTCAGTCGTTTTGTTTGAAGAGTAGAACTTGATGTCATTTTGCTTGCACAAATTCTTCGCTTTCTCTTGAATCAGTCTTCTTAAAACTTTATTTTTCAACGATCTCTCGCTTTCACCCATTCGTCCAGTTCAAGATCGAGCTGCTTGTCCGTCAGATTTCTCTCTCAGCCTTTTACTCTTCTAAACGATTTCATCTTCCGCGATGTCCCTTTTTGTGACATCCATTTTTGAATCATAGCTCGGGTTACCCAAAACTGAAAAAACTTCTTCCTCGCATCGTTTCTTCAAATCTTTCTGGCATACTCGATTGCCTTCAGCTTGAAATCGATCGTATAAGCTTTTAGTTTCTTCCCTTTTAAGCTCCTGATCGAAAACATCCGCAGATTCTCGAGATTTGAATCTTTTTCGGCACCACATTTGCATTCTCCTTATGCTCTCGATTTTCCACGAAATTCTCGGGGTCGGCGAGTTCGCGAAGAATCCGATACTCCTCGACTGACTCCGAGCGAATCGGCAATCGATTACAAAACCTAAAAAAGCACAATTTTATGGCATTTTATAAAAAAACATAGAGAAGATATAAATTGTAACTAGGTAGGTAGTTTCTAGGTTACAATTTTTTACTAGGTTACTACGTTACAACCTAGTTACAATTTTACCTAAATATCTAGTTTAAAATGTAGGTAAATATAGCCAAGTAGAATGATTAAAAAAATGTTAATGGGTAATGATTTTGGTAGAAAATTTAAAAGCAGATACGGTAGCACGGGCAAATTAGTGCATTTTATTAGTTGTGTTTCTTCTATTAGAGTAAATACGGAGGTAAATAAGGATCCGGTAGACTGGGTAATAGGGATTTTAGTAGAAATGGGATGAGGAAAGTGGATACTATGGATACGAATGGAATTGAACACGTCCTGAACTAGATAACTAATAATTTTTGAAGTTCAATTACTGTTATTTGATTCTCATAGCTCCAGGGTTACTCTAACAAAAGCTTCAAACATAAATGAAATGTTTTTCTTTTGAGAAACTTAAAATTCAAGCCAGGCTATAATCCGCTTTAGTCTCATCTCAGAAAACCATTGTGCACTAGTTCTTTCGAAATTCTTCTTTTCTAACAACCCAAGGCAATGATTCAAAAAGAATATCAAGATTTCGAAAACTGCTGAATGAAGTACTTGAACTTTAGTAAGAATATTGAAGTATTTGTCAAAAATCTCAAAGCGGGAAACAAAGCCACAAAAACGATTCACCCCTGAAAAAGTAATAACAAAATTGGTGTTCTAAATGAAAGAATTCTTCAAAATGCCCAAAATCTAACTACATTCAGAATCTGTTTCCATTCCAAAAAGCTAAATGGCTTCAGTAATGGATTTTGAAACACTTTTTATTACAAAATTATTATAACCAGGTTTTTCCATCATCATAATCGGCGAACTTTGAATTTGTCTCTAACAAATTAAAAATGAATCAGTTTTCCAAAATTCTTGTTTCAAAAACTTACCGAATCAAAAAAAACTATTGAAAATTTCGAAAAGAACTCTCCTCACCACCGCGAATTGCCTTTTTTAAAACCTGTCACTCAGTTGTCACCTTCAGGAATTGCCGAAAGTCTTGGGAAATTGGGATCAAGTAATGATAAGAAAGATGGACATGTCTCGAGATTTGATCTGAAATGAGTATAAATGCCGGTTGAATCGAGTGTTTCGGTACCAGTTCGGTCAGAGCCCTTTGTCTCTTCCTCAGAGAGATGAAACTGCTGGCTGCATTCGGCCTTTTGGCCATCGCCCTCGCTGCGTCCTCCCGTCAATGGGAAGAACGATCGTTCAACAAGGGAAACACCTACGAGTTCGAGTGGAAGGGACAGGTTCGTATTTGAGAGAATACTGTAGGAAAGAGGTAGGATCGGGGAGTATGGTAAGAGAGACTGTAATGGGGAAGGACAGTTTAGTCGATAGGGTTCACTTAAATAGGATATAAGAAGCGGTACTATATTGGGTACCTAGAGAGAAAAGACAGGTTGGTGGATTGGATTGGAACAGGACCTAGAATTGGGTACTGTATATGTAGGAGTACTGTAATCGATACTTTAAAAGTTTTTGAACAGTTTTTGAGCCGCTTCTTTGAGAACCTCCCAAATGACTCGATTTCCTCATCATCATTCATTTCCATCTCAATTTGCAGATCGTCTCGGGCGTGCCCGTGAAAGGATCCTCGTCTCATTCCCTTCAACAAATCCACTCAAAAGTCTTCATCACTGTCAACGAGAAACACTCGATTCTCCGTCTCGACAATGTCAAGCTTACCAATGGCCACAAGCAGCTCACCGAGCCACGCATCATCTCTGAGGTGGGGAAATGGGAAAGAAAGAGATGGGGAAATAGATTAGAGATCTACAATTGATTTCTAATCTCTACAATAACTGAGTATCTTTCCCAATGATGGTCCCCATTTCCAGGTGTCGCTCGAGGAGTCGCAATTGACCTCCGAGCAACGCGAGCAGATCAAGCTTCCAATCCGCTTCCGTTACCACCAAGGAATCATCTCTGAGGTGAGATTTGGCCAAAAGATTCGAATCCTAATCCTTTCCATTCCAATCATTCCCTTCTTCAGATCGTCTTCTCGGAGGAGGAATCCGCCTGGTCGGAGAACATCAAGCGCTCAATTCTCAACATGCTCCAAGTTCAAATGAGCCCACGCAAGACCCAAGAGGAGTACAACACGAAGACCGTCTCCAACAACAAGTTCTTCACCGTCACCGAGGTAGATTTGGATGAGGATGGAAAATGAGATTAATAGAACGATTTGATAGAAAGTTCCGATCTAATCGAGCCTTTTCACTTGATAAATCTCCAATCACAGCCCGAAATAGACTAGTACTTTGCTAGATTCTTACCTGGATACACAAGATTACAGTATTTCTAGATAATCAAGCACCTAGAGTCTGATCTAAAACATTCTTAAACTAGCCCTCAAACCCAAGTTCACCCTTTTCAGCGCACCCTCGAGGGTGAGTGCGAGGTCGCCTACACAATCGTCGAATCGGAGAAGAACCGCGAGGAGAAAGAGATCACCAAGTCGCTCAACTTCGAGAAATGCCCCAAGCGTATTGATATCCGCTATGGACCCCGTTACTCCGCTGGTTTGTGTTAATCAAGAAATGGATATTCACCAATTATCTCCTTATTCAATACTCCTTTTCCAGAGTGCTCCATGTGTGAGGCCACCGATGCTCGCCCTGAATCTCAAACTGTCATCAGCTACAAGGTTCGCGGAGAGGATGAGGAGCGTTTCCTTATCACCGAGGTCGAGCTCAAGTCCGAGTGAGTATTTGGGATTGATCTAATCTAGGGTTTCCCACACTGATCATCCACCATTGATCCATTTCTTTTCCAGGTACGTCTTCTCCCCCTTCTCGAAGGATCAAGAGATGCTCGCCACCTACGTCCACCAAAAGATGCGCCTTGTCAACATCAAGTCGGCTGAGCGTGTTGAGGAGCCCCGCAACGGAAAGAAGTCTTCCCTTCTCTACAACTACGAGATGGAATTGGCCCGTGAGAAGTTCTGGATGAACGGAGACGAGCAATCCTACACACTCACCGGATTCGCCGGAGTCCCCAAGAAGGAGCTCATGGACAAGTACATCCGCCTCACCCTTGCCTCGATGGAGGAGTCCGAGAAAGACGGAGTCACCCTTGAGACAAACCACAACTTTGCCCGCATCGTCGAGGTCTTCCGCATGTGCACTGAGCGTGAGGTGCAAGAGATCCACCGCCACTTCTGGGAAACCGAAGTCTATGCTGAGAAGATCGAGAAGGTTCGCGAGTTCCTCACCGATGCTCTCATTGCTGCCGGAACGAAGGTCACCATTGAGCACTTTGTTGAGAAATGCGAGAAGAAGGAAATCTCCCCAATCCGTGCCGCTATCGTCATCAAGGGACTCGTGAACACCCGTGTTCCATCCGAGAACATTGTCAACTCACTCTTGCGTTTGGTCAAGTCCAAGGTTTGCCGTGAGGAGCCAATTCTCCGCCAATCCGTCCTCCTCACCACCGGAGCTTTGATGAACGGTGTCTGCTCAAAGAAGGAGATCACCAAGGAATCGTGGGCCATCGAAATCGAAGGAGAGAAGGAATGCCGTCGTGAGCTCAAGACTGAATGGTTGAAGGAATGGGAAACTCTCTTCGAATCGGCCACTTCCCGTTACGAGAAGGTCCTCGTCCTCAAGGCTGTTGCCAACTCTGCCCTTGATGTCTCCATTCATTTCCTTGAGAAGGTCATCTATGATCGCCGTCAACCACTCGTTGTCCGCCAAGCCGCCGTTGACTCTCTTCGCATGGTGGGTTTGACAATTAGAAGAGCTAACCAATCAGAAGATAATCAGAAACTAACCAACTTTAAAAAGAGCTACTCTAAGAAGCCTCTAGTCCCTTAAAATCTAGAATAACTTTTGGCAGATTGAAAGTCTAGATCAAAATTAGCCTCTGATTCTGGATGACAGCTCAAACTCTAGTTCAATTCTAGTAGTCTAATCTTGACCTATTAAACGAAAACACTTATCAATTCAACATCTAAGGATTGTACTTACACACAAATTCCAGCTCCGCGACCAGATGCCCCGCAAGGTGCAATCGGTGTGCCTTCCCCTCTTCAAATCTCTTCGCGAGCCAGTCCCACTCCGCGTCTCGGCCCTCTACCAACTTGTCCACTCCCGCCCCGAGCGTTCCCTTCTCGATCAAATCGTTCACCAACTCAACATCGAGCCATCCACCCAACTCCGCTCTTTCGGAGTCTCTCTTCTCCGCTCGTTCTCCGAGTCCAAGAAGAACCCATGTGAGACCAAGCTCGCCGAGGACATCAATGTCTCTCTTCGCATGCTCCGCTCTCCTCCACTCTCCACCTCCACCCATGTCCATCTCCCATGGTACTCTCGTCTCTTCGACTTCGGAATGACCATGGATGTTGCCTCAGTCTTCTCCAACGAGTCCGTTCTCCCACACGAACTTCTCGCCTCGGTCGACTCTGTCTTTGCCGGACAATGGAACAAACACCTCGTCCAAGTTGGACTCTTCCAAAATAACCTCGATCAAGTGCTCATCCCACTCCTCAAGAAACTCGAGAAAACCGAGACCGAGATCGTTCTCCGCGGACAACGCTCTTCCTCCAAGGCTCCACTCCGTGAGGCCCTCAAGGAACTCGTTCGTCAGATGAAGATCCAATCCCGCCAAAACGAGAATGGAGAGGATGCCTTCGGTATGCTCTACATCCGCTACAAGAACTTGGACTATGCTGTCCTTCCCGTTGAGGAGCAACTCATTGAGAAGATCGTCCGCTCTGATTCGTCGATCTCTTCATCCGAGATGATCCGCAAGATCGCCAAGGGATTCCGTTTCGAGGGAGTTCTCTCTGGATACGTCTACGAGCACGTCCGCATCGTCCCAACCACCCTTGGACTCCCACTCCAGGTACAGTAATCTTTTAGAGTCCCTAGATACAGTATTCTTAGACCTAATAGTCAGTTACCGGTACCATAATTCACTACTGATCGATAATATCCAAGAATTGACTTATAATCTTTTGCCTATGTCCGAATTTATCTCTAGGTATCAATAATCAACATTTAATCTGAATCCACCTATTCCTATAATTTCCAGGTCACCTCCAAGCTCCCAACCGTCGCCCACATCAAGGCCCACATCAAGGCTGAGATCTCCCCGAAGATGTCTCTCCGTGTCGAGATGGAGCCCTCGTTCGTCTCCACCCATGTCACCGAAATGACGGTCTTCTCCCCCGAGATGGACATCGGATCCCGTGTCTTCCACTCGATCCAATCAACTCTTCCAATCCACGGACAAGTCGAGTACAACGATGAGAAACAACAACTCAAGGCTGTCCTCCGTCTTCCCAAGGAGGAGAAACGTGTTCTCCTCGTCGAGTCTCGCCCAACCACTTTCGTCCGCTCATTCAACAACAAGCAAGTGCCAGTTCTTGAGGAGAAGACCATCCGTATTCCATCGTTCGAGAAGACCTCTGTCCACTACGAGAAATCCTACGGAGAGGAGCACTTCGGTCTCCGCACTGAGGTCATCGGATCCGTCCACCGCCACGTCTTCGACAAGAAGACCCCCGAGTCGATCCTCTTCGGAGAGAACCACGTCCAGGTAATGATGACAATGAGATAGACAAGGCAAAACTTCTAGCACGATGGTGATTGAGTCAAGTAGAGTTAGATTAGGAAAAGATGAGCTTAATTGATCACAAACTGATCGAATAACAGGATCCCTATCTAGGGAGCTCAGAATAGTACACAAGACTTAAGCTAAACACAGTTCTAGATGCAAAAACTCTAATTTCCAGATTGTCCTTGTCCCCACCGCCGAGTCCGTGAAGGAGATCGTCCTCGAGGTTGAGCCCAAGTACACCAAGATGGCCTCATCCGAGTACGAGTCACCCCGCTACGATGAGATCTTCACTGAGAAGGAGTTCGGTTTGGAGACCTCTGACGAGTCTGAGGAGCGTGCTGATGAGCGTGTCTCTCGCCGCACCCACTCCAAGAAGCACTACGAGTCGATGAAATCGTTGAAGGGACATGAGGGACGCGTCAACTTCCGTCTTTACACCATCGGAGGACCAAAGACCATCAAGGGAGAGATGTCCGTGAAAGGATCGTGCGATGAGGAGATCAAGGTGTGCCGCTTCGATCTTCAATGCAAACGCTCGCCACTTCTCGAGAAGGAGCGCCGCGACTGGGAACTCCAAATGAGCGGAGAGCTCGTCTTCCCCGAATCCCCCAAGACCATCAAGGAGTTGAAGGAGATGCGCCACAAAGAAGTCGAGGGAACCCTCAAGTGTCGTTGGGGATCTGAGGACAAGAACGAGATGACCATCCGTCTCCAGAAGACTCAATCCCAAGAGATGGCCCGTTTCGTCAAGGAGATCGACTACGAGAGCAACAAGGGACTCGAGAAATACGACATGCTCCGCGAGGCTTCCAAGCTCAACAAGTACGTCGTCCTCGTCGACAAGGACCTCTCCAAGGACAACGAATTGGTCTTCCGTCGTCTTTTCGACCTCTTGAAGTCCGAGTTCTACATGTCTGGACAAGTCGAATCGATCAGCTCCGACTCTCGCCGCTTCAAGATCGAGGCCGTCGTCGAGCCCGAGGACTGCCGTCGCGTCAACTTCACCGTTGAGTGCAATGGAGAGAAACTCATCGTCAAGGAGGCCTATTCCCCAATCCGTATCCCATTGATGTCCCTCGGATCTCGCCGTGTCTCCCTCAAGGGATTGAACAACAAGAGCTCGTGGGCCTCGGTCTTCATGCCAACTTCCGAGTGCGAGGTTTCCTCAAACAAGGTGTCGACCTTTGATGGACTTCTCTACAAGACCCCATTGACCACTTGCTATTCGGTGCTTGCCAAGGATTGCTCTCAAGAGCCCGAATACGTTGTGATGATGAAGAACATGGAGAAGAACTCTGAGGAGAAGAAGATCAAGATTGTGACTCAAGAGAAGGAAATCGAGTGCGAGTTGAAGCAAGAGAAGATCGTCTGCAAGGTTGATGGACGCCGTGTCGAGGACGAGGAGGCTCTCTACGATATGGGCATCAAGCTTATCGGTTGGTTTTGAATTGAAATTGAAAGATGAGTGGGTCTTTAGGAGAATCATCATGCGAGATCACCATCCCAAAGATGACCATCCGTTTCGATGGATACAAGGTCGAGATCAAGGCTGACAAGCGCACTGAGAACACCCAATGCGGACTTTGCGGACATTTCGATGGACGCCGCGACAACGAGTTCCGCCGTGCCGACAACGAGGAGACTGGTGCGTGGAAAAGAAAGTGGATGGGAATTGGATAGGAATTGGAATTGAGCTGAGATGGAGCTGAATGGATTGAAGGTGTTAGGATAGAAGTTAAGCTAGGGCTAGTGGTCTAGATTCACTAGCAGTGCCTAGAAGTGATTGCTTAGATTCGTCACTGATTCATTATCTGAATTCTTAAATCATTTCTCTAATCAACCATCCTTTTCAGAGGATATCGAGGAATTCCACCGCTCGTGGCTTCGCCGTGACAACGAATGCGAGGTCGAGGAGTCGAAATTGAAGGAGAAGAAGAACTACGGAGTTGAGTCTGATGAGGAGGAACGCTACGATTCCGAGGAATCTTTCTGGAATCCCCGTCAAGATTTCGAGGAGGAGAACATGGGAGAGAAGCGATCACGCAAAATGCTCAAGAAGAACCTCAAGAAGCACATCAGCCGCAAGAACATCCGCAACGAGGAGGAGAACACCTACGGTTGGTTGAGCGGAGGGAATTGGGCATAGTCTGACTCTAAGAATAACTGTGATTCTTAGACATTGAACTACTAGTCTGAGTCACACTTGTTCCATCTCATTCCATCTATTTCCAGAGCCCGAAAACGAGATCGTGATGGTTGAGCGTGAGGGAAAGACCTGCTTCTCGATGGAGGAACAACCCAAATGCCAGCCAGGAGATGAGCTCATTGAGACCGAGAACCGCAAGGTGAAATTGGCTTGCCTTCCACGCTCGGATCGCCGCACTCGTCGCATTGTGAACGGCCTTAAGCGTGGAGAGGAGTCGATCATGGAGGAGGTGAGTGTGAAGGGCAAAAATAAAAGAACAAAAAGGGAGAAAAGGATAGACAAATGGGGAGATTGGGCTGAAGATTGCCGAGACTTACTACGTTAGTCTGCTAGCCTACTTTAGATCGAGTAAGAGTGCTTAAATAGTTGAGGATCATGACACAGTCTGTAAGTTGTTGATTGAAGAGCTTAACTGCTTGAGCATTACAATTCCAATAGACACTACAGTACTCCAATTCCTATTCCCTATCAAATATCCAATCTCCTTCAATTCCTTCATTTTTTCAGATTCGTTCCCTTCCAATGTCTCTCACCGATCGCATCGAGTTGCCCAAACTTTGCCGTGTCTACTAAACACTCATCGATCAATCCAATCCAATAACTATTGAAATGAGCTTTTTTATGTAATCATGGCTATCAAAAGCCATAATTTGAGCACCCATTCAGTGCGAATGCAATAAATTTTGATAAGCAATTTGTTTTTTTAATGTAAAACACTAGAAATGAAAAAATAAATGAAAGGGAAAGGGAAAGAAAGGTAAAGAATGAGTCTGGATTGATTCCAAAAAAAGCAAAGTTGATAGAAAGTTGTTTAGCTGATAAGGAATAAGCATTTAAAATTTTGAACTAAAGGCTCTAACTCTAAACCTGGAAAGCTCTAGAATTACAGATCTTACAATTTGCAATTTTTTTTCTTAGCAAGTTCTGAATACTCTGAAAAAAATTCTTAGCAATTTCTTTTTGATTGACTAAGCTACAGTTACGTGGTACATTTTATTTTTTATAGCAATCGTATTCCCCATCTTCCAGGTAAATGCTGGTTACCATCTAAAACTAATGAATATTTAACAGAAATATTTAAAGTTTACAATGAATATTTAACAGAAAGGCTCAAAAACTTATCACTATTTATGAGCCCCATCTCAAACTATATACATTTTTCGATTTTACACTTCCCTCAGACACTTTAAACTTTGCTTTCCTTTAATCTTTATCTTTCTTTTGCTTTATTTCTGGCTGAACAACGCTACATCAATCGAGAAAACTTTGGACCCAAAAAGTTTAGCCATTGAACAGAATACGAAAAAAAAACTCATGGAAAACAGGATTTCTCTCATGGAATACAATGTCAAGGAAATCACTTTTAAAAAAAGATGACGGTTCAACTGTGTTAACAGAAAGTTCATGAGATCGTTCCCATACTTTGAAAAAACGACATTTTTCGAACAAATTCAAGTTCTTTTCTGTCAAAGAATACAATCTGTGAAAACTTCAGTCTGTTGACTTTTTTTAATAAGGGAAATACTGCTAGTGTTTCAGCTTGTAAAATGAACAATGTTTCACTCGTCCAGGTTTTTGCTTTGTGTTTTGATCTAATATGTTATCTATGTTTCTTTCTTTATTTCATTTACTTGAAAAACCGTGTTATGAACCTCTGTTCTCACCAGACCTTTGTAATCTCTTAATTTTAGCCTAAATGTCTACAAACGTAACAGTTAGTGACTTCGATAACTACACAGAGTCTTTTGTGATGATTATGGTAAATGAAAACTAGTTGATAGTGTTATTCATTCATTTCAGCTAGGATTAACTGGTGTTGCTGTTGGAATTATGGGATTGGTGGTCGTGCAGAAGAACTCATTTCTGAGAGGTTTACAGCTATAAAGTTACGTCAGCAAACCAGCTTAGATCTTGTGAAACATTACATTGTACTCGATTTGCTCAACCTAACCATAATCAATTCGTGTCATCTTTTATGGGGAGTGCCTTGTGCGATTTGGTGAGTTTGAAAGTGTTTGAGGTAACCTCATCCAGTTATCAATGAATTGCAAACATTAAACGAGTTTTGTAACTCTCAAAGCCCAACAGCAACAGTTTGATCCTGTACAAGCTGCGTGAAAATTGTTAAGCGCCCCTAGCGTTAAGCGCCCCTAGCGTTCTTGAAAACTTATCCAAGATAAATTTCATTGTAAAACCATGAAAATAATCCACAAAAACAAAGAAAAAGTTAATAAAACTCGGTATAACCTTCTTTTGCTCGGATTGCATTCGAAGATGAATTGAAAAGAATTGACTGTGCGCTTCAGGCAATCTTCATCAAAATCGCCTCAATCTTTAAAGCTGATATGAAAATCACTTTAAATCTTTATTTCAGTGATATTTTACATAAAAAAGATAATCATTGGCTTAATTTTTTTAAAAGATTCAAATTTTGGGGCCAATTCATACGTCTTCCATTAGGCGCCCGCTCATACCGCTCGGCGCAACTCTGCAATCTTCTGTTCAATTTTTTAGCCTCTTTAGAAGCCTTATTTTGCTAAATTAAAACAAAAAACTATGAAAATACCACTGAAATAAAGATTTAAAGTGATTTTTCTATCAGCTTTAATCGAAAGATTGAGGCGATTTTGATAAAGATTGCCTGCCGACGATCAATTTTTTTCCAAGTAGTCTTCATGAGTGCATCCGAGCAAAACCTTCGGTCAAACCGAGTTTTAATCACTTTTTTATGTTTTTTTTTTTAAAAAAAAAAAAAAAAAAAAAAAAAAAGCAAAACAAAAAATGTGAATTATTTTCATTGTTTTACAATGAAAATAATTCACAAAAACATCTTGGATAAGTTTTCAAGAAAGCTACAAGCCTTATAGGGGCACTCAAAAATTTTCACGCACTCTGTACTACTAAATTTCAGGAATCTCAACGAAACCCTTCCGTTTCTCGATTATCTCTTTGCTATGCTAGCTTTTACATCAATTTCGTTAGGCTTTCCACCAAAGGTTTGTTGTTTTATAAGATGTAGAAAAAAATATTTCAATTAAAAGGAAGTTGAAGCATCGAATTTTTTGAAAAAGCAGGCAGCAAAGCCAAGATTTCAGCTTTTCCTTGGTATCAACCGTTTTTGTGCCCTTGCTTTTCGTGGACGATTCTTTAAAGTCTTTGAAGCTACAAAGATTCCACAATATTTGATTATGATAGCCTATCCTCTGGTCACAGCAATTCTCTTTTCGCTTCGTGAGTTTCAAAAAGAGTCAACGTTATAAGTAATAAGGGGAGCTATTTGCTTTATTTTTTTTGCATACAGTGAAAATGGAAAAGTTTTAAAATAAGATTAGAACACAACAGCTTGTTACTGGTAGAATTTCTTTATTATAGCCGACTGTCATCCTGGTTTCTTTCCACGAGAAGGTGGCAATCTTTTCAGCGGAGATGGACCCTGTGGCTATCGGATTCTACATGTGCAAAACGTGAGAAAGTTTTATTTATTTTCTATCTAAGTTTAGCAAATTATCACTTATTTTTACTATCCGATCAGTACCTTCTTCGACATTGCCGTATTCTTTCTGATGAGACAACGAATGAGGGCTTTTCAACGAGAACAAACACAGAGTAACTACAAGGCTGAGAATCTCAAAAAGGAGTATCGCTTGGCGGCTCAGGTGATGCGAAATCACTGTTTAGTATTGGTTTTGATTTTTAACTCATTCGAAACTTCTGCAGCGATTATTCGCTGCAGCAAAAACTCGGGAACGGACCGCTGCAGCCATTATTGACCTATTTTCGTTCAATCGATTGGTTTTTTTTTTTTGCGGTTTTTCGGCATTACATGTATATTCAAACTGTAATGGATACATAAAAAAGTGAGAAATGTAATGAAAAACTTGACGCTTGAACTTGATGAAATCTGCTTGAATCTGCTTGAATTAGTTCATCATCTGATCCATCAACAGACTTCAAATCACTGTTAATAAATAAATTATTGAAAGAATCGGTCAATTCGTCATCCATGACGATAACCTGAAAAAAAGAACCTAAATTAATCTATAAAAACTATCAGAAATAATATAAAATGAAATGTCAGCAAAAAAACGTTGCAACGTTGCAGGGAATCTTTCAAAGGAATTGTTCAAAGACACGAATAAGTTCCCATTCGGGAAGAACTTAAAGTGCAAATCTGTTCGATAAACTCTCAATTTGTTGTAATCGAGCTTAAAGAATTGAGCACAGCTTCATTCAAATGATTCAAATGATTCAAATGATCCAAATTATTCAATGGATTGACCGTTGCAGCGGAAAAATTTCAAAAAAGGGCGCGGTCCGCAGACGAAAAAAAAAGAAAAACGCTCGGGTTTCGAATGGGTTAAAGTAATAACAAGTGATTTAAACCTGAATTTCAGATGCTGGTCAACTTGGTCACCGGTCTCATTTTGGGTGTCTCTGTGACCGGTTCGATGACGATTTTCAACGGCAATCCATGGTTTTTCATAATCTTCACCGCTCTTTGGCAGTTGTGTTGTTTAGTTTCATGGTAGTGATCGATAATGACAAGTAATGACAAGAATTTTTTAATTTCAGTCTTTCATATGCCATTTTACTTCAAGAGCCTCGACGCCGGAGAAACGGGAAAAGGATGGTCGAGACGATCTCCAACATTAAAACGACGCAGACTTTGTGATGTTTTTTTTTTGTTGAAATTAGGTGTTTTCAATTCAAATAAATGTCCTTGTTTAGAATCGTAAAAATATAAACGAAATTTGTTAAAGATTTAGATATTTAAGATAAAAATATTTGACATTTACAGAAGATAAAAACATTTAAATGTTTTCTGGAAAGTTTAGTTTTGAAAGAGCAAAACACAAAACTTCATTGTACTTGCAAGGTTCATCTTCCGTTCTCAAAGAACATTTCTACACCTAAACCATCCTGATCAGAGCCACCTAGCTCTCCAAAGAAGCATTGTAGCACTACAGGCTGTACTGGAGGCTGTACTGGAGGCTGGATTTCTGATCGGAGTGATTTACTTCTAGAAATGTTTATCAGAATTTAAGCTTCAAAATACTATAAAACATGGGAAATTTTGTTTTAGCTTTCATTTAGAAACTCAATCATTTACAAGTGTGCGGGAACTTTTTGATCACCCTGTGAAAGAACAGAATGTACATCGTTTGAAAGATCAAGAAAAAAAACGTTTCTTTCATTGAATTTCAAACCACTTTTTGAATATGTTCATTTTTTGGGCAATTATAATCATAAATAGAATCTTAGGACAATTCATTGTGGTTCGGCCGGGAATTCCCGACGCGCGCGCACTTTGAATAACTATCAGAACTTTTAGGAAACAGTCACCTTTGTTCAATAATGTTTTTTCTAGAGTGTGTAAATCCTTTCAGATCTGGTATCAAAACAACATGACCGCTGGCTTGCCCTACAAGACTCACGAAGGTGATGAAGACAAGTGGATTTTTGCGGAAGAATATGTAAGCAACGGGAGCACATTTTTGAGAACTAATCTACAGGACATGCTCAGCCGGTGTTCCCATCTACGAGCTTAACACCTTTGCCCACACCACCTA